GCGTGGTGTGAGATTAGCCCCGCGGTCCTCTTTGCCAAAACTTTTCCGCCAATTTCCGCGACCGCGTCCCTTGCTCTCGTTGCAATAGAGTCCGCGACGCGATCGTAATTATCTACTCTTTCGCGAGTGTTGCGTTGTGCCAGTGCGAAACGGAGGAATCTGAGAGGAGGCGGCGGCTTAGGGGGCATCGGGCGACCACCGAGTCATCCTCTGGTAAATATAATTTTCTATACATTACTCACATGTTAATTTCATTTCACTGATTGTTTTATTCTCCTTATCGTTTACTGGATATACACCCGTTTGAACGACACACACGAGTACCGGCTGAAATATTTCTGCGTACGAAATAGAAAAGGAAATTACGTTTGTTCTACGAAAATTTACCTTCGCAAAAAATGTCTTTTCGGAAATTATATAATTCTTATTTAGATGCACGGTAGTTGAAATGTACCACGAATAACGGTATTCGTGTGTATTTCGTATAAAATTATTAGGTTTTTTTTTAATGTTGCGTCATTTATGTATATTAATTTACATTTGTGCGTTGCAGGTCGTCGCAGTTTTACTGCCGTGGTGCTGTTCGTCGTATCGGTGAGTGAGAAGTTCAGTTTATCTTCTAAATCGAGGTAATGAATCCATGAAAGCTATGCCAATTCGCAGGGAATAAACGATAATAAATTAATGAGAACACTTGGGGGAAAATATACTGCCTTTTCAATATTCTTATTAATAAAACTGTGAATCTCCGGTTGTACGCAGATATATAAAATATCTTAAATATTAAGAACATACATTGCAAAGGTATAGAATATCATAGATTCATTACATTCACTGAGAAAAATATCTTGGACTATCTAATCGGATAATATTAACAAACTTATATGTATATTCCATTAAATTTTCATCAGTAAGTGCAATTTTATTAGATAAATTTCATCGAATGTATCCATAATGTAATCGGAAAACTTAATAAGAAAAACCGATGGTTAATTTTCCATCGAAAACGCTACTTATCAATTTATCCAATGGAAATTTTTCTCAGTATTATAATGGATGGACTGGAATGAAATAGACATTTAATCCTGGAGATCATGCATTTATTAGTCAATTTATTGCTCGTCCATGGCACATCGTTTTGTTATTTAATGTTCATCATGAAAAATCTGTATTTATAAATGAAAAACGGAAGAGACACAGAAATTTTCTTTATAGCTTAACATATTCCAAGTTTATTTAACAAAAGAATTTATTGAATATTAATTACTTTAATTTTAGCATAAGTTGATTTTATTCTACTGTTTCACGGTCCATCCACGTGCATGTTTATTATGTGTTTGTTATGTTCGATTGTATTACTTGCGAAATAACTGAATATGAGATTCAGTAATCATCGATGACTGAACATGAAACCGAGAAAGTTTTTTATGTAGATTTTATATTAATTATTAGTCTCAATCAATTATAGAAGACATGCTTTATAATACTTGATATAAAATATTTTAGAAATAACTTTTAATGTTTCAAAGATATGTTTAAGAGATATTTTTACGACGGGACATTGATAACAATTTTATTTCTCGGCAATTTAAGTATTTCTGTCGCAATTTGAACAATGAAAAATATTTTCTACGCCGCTTGAATAGGAAATGCAATTATCGCGCCGTGAGAAATTCGCGTCTCTTTCCTTTTAAACAGCTATCAGTCATCTTGTATTTATTTTATTATGCTTGATGCTGTAATCATTCTCTGTGACGAACGAAGAAAAATTAGAAACGATGAGTTAAGTGGTCAATATTGGCCACTCTGATGGAGTAAGCGAAAGGTGCTATACAAAGTGTACTTGGATTTCTTTTCATTTATTACAAGTCGGTTATGCTTCTATACAATCTCGCATATGTACGAGAGTGAAACTCCTATTAAATCTCGCGGGCGCGTTAAACTCCCAAGTCAATCCCCTAGAAAATCGCGTAGGCGTTAATTAAAGATTTGTAGATTCATTACGTTGAAACACGGGTAGGTAGAAAATGGATAAGTAGGCAGGTCTATAGATAAAAGTACGAGTAGGCAGGGATTCGGATAGTCAGGAATATAGAAAAATAATGACTAACAGACGGCTAAATGCAATTTGGTAACATTGTATTAAATTAAAAAGTAATAAGGAAAAAATAAGAGCTAGATTTAATTTTCACTTTTTTTATTGTATTAAATAATACAATTGTAATCGTAAATAAGTATTCCACATTATATAACTCAAATACAACTAATGTTGATACACTTACTGTATATGTATAAACATATTAAATGTGTGATAAGATGATAATATACATTTCTAACAATAAGTTAAAAGTGTGACGATCTTATAATTGAAACATAGACGGTATGTGAGCAAGCGTGAAAATATAAAATCGAGCAAGAAGACAATAGGAACGTGCGAGGTGAGACTAATAGCATGCGCAGCGTCGAAGAGGCTCGACAGGACCGGTCTAGTTTTCCTTATGGCAATGCTTGTTTGAAACATTTCCTTTTACCGCTTAACATTCAACAATTCACTTAATTGATAATATCTTTCGAGTCTATCCCTCTATTTTATTACCAACTGTTGATTGTTAGCTTCGCTATCAAACCGTGTAGTCATGTACAAATATATTATTTGTCGATAATATATTTATGTACAAAGATATTATCACGTGTCGATATTTTCGATGTAATTGTTGCTTAACTCTTTTCGAATTAATTCCGCCAATCTCTTCAGTGCCTGAAACATAAGTTTCGATATAAATATTCGAGGCTCCATTCGCTCAGCAGCAAGGTGATAAGTGTACGATAAAACTTTATTCACCGTCGATAGGTTAGCTGTACGTCAGTAAAATAGATTGACATAAAAAAAAAATTTTAATTTGATATGTTCAAATACGCGTGATTTTAATATGTTTACTCTCAATTGTATTATGTATTATTGATTTACGTTAAATTTTACAATTAATTAATAAACCAATAGTTTGATTTATAATTTATCTTATTAATTAATATAGGTATGTATAATAATAAATAGTATATAAAAGTATATAAATTCAAAATACCAGATCCATTTCTTCACGGGAAGCTTTGGTGAAACTTGCCCTGATGGCGTTACAGGATTTCGTGGAATCTTTCATAAATGCGGCTCCTGGCGCCATAATAACGCCACTCTTTACACCTTGCTGCATTATCATCTTCCATGTATTCTTGATTCCTCGTACTTTAATCCATAAAAAGAATCCACCCTTTGGTACGCTAAAGTCCGCCAAACCTAAACCACAAATCGTCACTTTCTAATCTTTTAATTACAGCGATTTACCAATTATTTATTAAATTCTTTTACACGTAGGAACGTAAATTGTTGCGCGTAAAAGCATTGCACATAATATAATAGCAGTAAGATATCAAAATATATGTATACATATAACCACAAGTATAGTTTATCGATATTTCTTTAGTGAAAGCATTTAAAAAATTATAAAAATGAAACAATAATTTTATTTAATTATACATATATAAATTTATATGTAAATCAAAGTATTACAGTTTTTAAGAATATTAGAGTAAAGATACACAAAAAGTATTTGAAGTTTGCTGTAAAACTTATACGTCAGTTGTAGATAATACAAGTTTGGTTTCATTCATAAGCAAAAATACATACTCTCGTATAGAATGATTCGAGACGTTGTTAATTTTGTAAATGTTGCTATAATATTGTTCAAACTATGGCACAGTTACATATGTTTATACAATGTTTCTATAATTTGCAGTGCAATGCACAATATTACAACGTTACTACTTGTACGTTGTTATGGGATATACATATGTATACACACATTCCTTCTATTATCATCAAGTGTACCGAGAACGGTTGTTACTCACCGTTTAAATGCTTGTGTGCTAATTCTGAGATAACATCCCTTCGTTCCTTGTAGAAGCACCTTAGTTTCATGTAATGTTGCATGAGGCCCTCGTAACCCCAGGTCTTCAACAGCTTGTACATTATTACCTAAAAAGTCAGATGAGCCACTTCCTTATCATCTTTTTTTCTGGTGATAAAACGGTCAATGTTTACAATAAGGTTTAGATAAGAACCGACACGCGCCGCTGTCGGTTTGATTTATGGACGATGATTAAGCGAGGCATGCGTCGACGTTTCATCATTCCCGATAATAACATTTACGGTTATTGCCCGTTTTTCATGTGTATAAAAAGTATAATAAATCCTTTCACATTTAAGTGTAAACATTTGCATCGTGTTATCTAACATATTCTCATATAGATATGTATTAAAACTTGAATGTGATAAGATTGGTTAGAAAAGATTGATTAGTTTTTTACATTGGTTCGAAGTTTTATTGCAGCACTAGTTTACACGTTACCGACGATACAGAAAAGTTTAAGCTAGGGTAACGGACGAAGGGTCGCGAAGGGCGTTGCAAAGGGTAAGGGATATATCTCTACCAACCTGCGATAAGGTAGGAGCATGGAGATGGCTGCTCTGCAAATGGAGCTCTACGCTGGCTATCAGCGGAGCTGCGGCGGTCAGAAAGCCTAATCTGATGCCACTGCTGATCACTTTCGAGAATGAGTCCAATCTAATTACCCGACCTTCCGTATCGAGCGATAAGAAAGACTTAGGCTCTTCCTGAGAAGGAATATCATTTATTTTAAATGCCACCATATTTTTCCATTTTTATGACGAATATCTCTCCAATAGTATTTACGTTACTTTCATTGAATATTCGTGATTCTATAAACGTGTATAATTTTGTATTATATCAGTTATATTATAAATGTAAATATAGATCTTGTTCTGTCTTTCTCAAACGTCAAAGATTGTCATGAAAGACATTCATGATGTGCGGATTGATATCATCGAGAAATTTGAAATATTATCTATAAATTTTGCATAACATCTCTAATAATTTGCCGTTTGATGGCACCAAATAGCACAGTACTTAATGCACCTATATTGTAATTAACAAATGTCCTCATTCGTTTTGAGTACATTGCTACTGCATTTTATCATATTTTAAACAGCTTTAAAAGATATAAAATTTAACGTTATCGCGTAGGTCACTCGGAATTTAATTTACGTTTATGCAAAATTATGCCGGAATTACGTCAAAGATACATCATACAGTAAACTTATCTAATTTGCACTGTAATCTGCGGGCCCGTTTATAAAATACCATTTTGCAGATTTCCATTTTTTAAGTAATTTTCGATATAATTATTTGTATAGTAAATATTAACGTATGTATATTTATACGTTTATTAATACGTCTATTAACGTTCGTATTGACGTGGCCGGCTTAACTTCTTTATGTCCTATCCACGTTAAATAACACATTCGTCACATATGAAAGCCATGACTCACCTTGTCAAAATGCATGAAATGATAAGGATCGTCGTCGAGAAGTAAGAAGTTGTACTCGCAGGCTATCCTATAGATCTCTTTTCGTCTTTCCAGAGGTATAATGATGCCGGTAGGGTTCGTGCCAGTAGCGTTTATATACATTACTTTCGGCATTTTTCCTCCGGAAAGCTCCCGTTTTATCAGAGTTTCCCGAAGTATTTCCGGAATGGGACCGTCGTCGTCTTGCGGGATCATTAGAAACTCCGCTTTGTGCGGTGCTATCTGTGATCGAAATCAACACCCGTATTATTCCCGTAGTAACAAAAATTTGAAATAACAAATAAACCGCTGAACGTTTTGATACTTGGAAAAGAAAACGGAAGAAAAAAGTTATTCTTTTAAAGTAAATTAGATTAAATCGAACTCGGGTCAAAACATAAAACTCCAGTGTTTTCACACCATTCTTCATATAAATATAAGAGATATGAAATATAAAAAATATTAATTTTTATTTCGTAGGCTTCTCTGTTCGATATAAAAAATTAATAAAATCATGTTACAAAGCTTTCTAGAAGAGGCTTTTTTTACCGCTACCGTACAATACTTATTGTATACTTAGTAGTTAAAAGGATTAAAACGTCGCGACGCGCGTACACGTACGGGATTCTTCTCAAATTTCTTTCACTAATGAAAGCATATCTATATTCACTCACCACAACTTCGACGCCAGGATAGAAAGGGTCGGGGACCAAAATCGGATCACCAGTGCCGATTATAGCCTCCAAAGCCTTGCTAAGCCCGTCCTGAGACCCCGAAACGACGACTATGTCGCGTCTCTCCCATAAGGGCGGCGCGTGTGCCCTTCTCTGGAATTCCCTCAGGGCCTGAAACCAATTTGATGTCCGACGTTGTTAGACACATTGTAGTCGATTCCCTTATCTTGGTAACGAAAGATTCCGGGTATAACAACACGGTCGATTACACAAGGCGCAACCTCGGCCGAACAATGTGACACAATCGGAACGTGATTACTAAATAACTCATTTTCGAAATCTTTTAGTCTTTTGTTTTTTATCCGTTCTTCTCTTCTTATCTTTTCCTTATTATCGTTTCTTTAATTTTCCTTCTAATCAATAAGATATGGGCACTATGTCATATCTAACATTTTCCTGTAGAATAGATTTGAAGAAGATTCAGATAACGTTGAAAATATTTTCTACCTGCACCAGAGGAGGGTAACCTTGCGTGGGTATGTACTGGAGAGCGGCACCTAACTCGCTGCCTTCGAGAGTAAAGGATGTACCGTCGCAGAGTTTAACCGAAATTTCCGTGAACGGGAATGTTTTTTCGTTGGGCATTCCCTCTGCCAAAGAAATGGTATCTTTTTTCGCGGAGTACGCTATTTTAGCTAGAACAGATGAAAGATCCTCATTGTCGATCATCGTCCGACATAATTACAACATCCTTAGGTTTATCGGGGTGGGACATTAATATTCCGCGTTATTGGTATATTCGCAACTAATTATGATCGCGAGCATCAAAGTCAACTTATCAATTTTCTGCGTAAATGTTTTATCTTGGTGATTTTATTAATATATCATAAAAGAAAGACTTTGCAATTATTGCTAATTAGATGTAAGTCGAATCGTTTGCTGATTTACACTTTGCTCGCTACTGATTATTGCGTTTGAGCTTCACGACAACAAAGCGAAGAACTTGCTGCTTACTTAGCTCCCGCGTTGTGGCTGGCCGCCTGCGCTTGGAGACGTCCGTCATGAAATAAGAATAATCCATTTTTCTGTTCACGCTCTGTGTAAGGCACTCGCTTGATAGATCTTTGCTGTGAACCTCCGAATCGAATTGATTATTAATCACGCGCGTGAGTTCCAGTACGTTGCGTTTCAGCACACGATCAGTTGAGACAGTATTATTAATAAATCAATTGTTGATCGTCAGCGGCATTGATCACAATTTGAAAAGCCCAAACGTACACTCCGTCTCTTTCTCTGCGCGAACGTAGATCTCTTCTTCCTTCTATATGTATATATTAAGATCGTTTCCCAAGAGGTAAACGCACGGACTTAGTCGAGAGCACGTCCCACCAAAGTGAACACTTCTGTTATCCCTTCTACACTGACAACGCGCTCGGCTATGCCTCCTTTTATATTTAGCGATAACATGTTGGTTGCGTCAGAAAGTCATCCCACACACAAAAAGAAATACTCACATACACTAGAAAAATGTCACTAAATAGTTTCCCTGATTATACAATGTTTACCATACGGGCATCACGACTTAGCCCCGCAGCTGTTCTATCGCTGATTGAAGATTATATGGACTATATAAATTTTAACGAAATATATACACATGTATATATCGAGTCCGAGCACATATTCAATCGTTACAAGGAATCATAAGTATAAATACTGTAATTATAATACAAACTTAAGAGGGATATCCAAAATTCAGGACATGGAAAGAAATATCTGTAACTTCTCCTTAGATGGGGAATATAACGAGATAAACAATTGCTTTATCGATAATGTATCTCCATGAATTCTACAAACCTCATTTTTTGATAAGCATTATATCTAATCGCAGGTCAGAGACGATTTTATAGTTCTGCTCTTTTATACATACGCAATATGCATATGCAATAAATTCCAGAAACGGTGTCATATTTTGCAATTTACTTTTTACATTGCCTTAACTCCCCGTTCGCCGTAATTCTTATCATTGGCGATTCTTAATCATTGTTTCCTTTTGTAACTTCTCGAGCAAACGTACTATCGCGCCATATATCTAAATTGTTGGTTCATAAAAAGAACAGTAAAGATTAACCTTCGAGTATTAGATTTTCTCGTCGCGTACTGTTCCTAATCCATTATATTTTCACTATTTCTTCAGAGCCCTTTATCCGACAATCTTCCGAAAATACAGATGTCCAAATTATCAAGTGTAAACACACTTATTAATATAACATCTGTGTAAATCTTTTACTGTGACATTTGTCTCCATTGTTCTTTTTTGTGTGTGCGATTCTTATCAGCGTGCCGGTATTAATCCCTTCGTCGTACACTTGATCTGTCTCAATTCTCAATCAGTTAAGAATGAAAACTTAACAAATATTTCTCACCAAGATATGTCAATGCCTCTTGAAACAACGATGACAAATATTTCCAGATAAAGCTGCACTTCAAAATTTCTTGAATGAATCGTATCTTACAAATTTACAAACAATGCCGTCGAGAATGCCGTTCTGATAAGAGCGCTTTATATGTACAATATTTTCGTTGAAGTAGAAATAGCAGACGTGTGAACCGCAGGTGAATAGAGAGATAATGTATCAAAAGTTATCAAGAGTTCGCGAACGAAATTTTCTTCGTAATATATTCACGGTTCTTCTTTCATTGGTGCACTTGTATCAATTATGATGTAACCAAGCAAATAATTAACAAAGCAACCAAGCAAATAACGTGAATGAATGATGAAATATTGTATATTGACAATTTCACGCGTTTGTCACTCGTTAGACGCTGTTGACGGGAATCACCCTCGTATCGCGTACACGCTATTACGTAAAAGGATTATTTACTAACAATGACACAATCTTGCAAAGCCAATGTTTTATCTTTGTCCCCGATAAGTTTCGATTTATGCGATAGCGAAACCCCGTTTCCTTATAGGCGTAATTCGCAAGTAGGAATGTATGACACATACCTTTATGCATGAATATACATAGGTATCTTGCTAGACATCACCGTGAAACTTGAAGTACAATTTTCTAAACATAGAAAGTTCTTCTGAAGTAAAAACGTCGGTATCGTTTTATGGTGCTCTTGCAAAACGTCCAACGATGTTGCAATCTAATATAAAGATTAATTGCTTCTGTCAATTTCTCTGACGTTAATGCAAACTTTTATTATTTCATTTAATTTTTAACTGCGTCGCCGGTTAAGTTTTTATATCTCAAAAAAATCATCTCTCCCACCATTGCTTTCCTTGTTTTCATCTTATACTGCTTTAAAATTTCATCAGCTCTATGCTGATGCAACGGTCGGCTAGGATTTACTTTGGTACTTTCACTTCGACGCATAACGACGAGGATACGTAAAAGATGATGAAAACATTTGTCGCAATATTGCTTATACAGTACACTATTCTATTTTGACGATACTGAAGTTTTTTTTCAAATAAGTAAATTTCCAATGCGTTCTCTGTACGTCAGAAGATCGTATGACGCAGATAACATCATTGCGCACATAGATATTTTATTACACATCTATCGCGTAGTTTTAAACGCTACGTCGAATTAAATGTTTTTTTTTTAATTATATTTTCACGCGTTGTTTTTATACAGTGTAAAACTTTGCAATTAGATATTGCAATATACATTGATTTAAAAGGTAAGAATATTTCTATCAATTAAAACGATTTATTAAATGTATACACAGTCGATGAAACAAGAATCAATTTGATACGATTTAGAATTATTGATATTGAAATTCGCGATTGTCTCCTCCCACATGTTTATCATTCACGAGAGCGATGTAACTTATCCAAATCACAGGCGCGCGCCACGCACATATGTGTATTCGCACGCGCGATATGCGTATGTTTGCACGCGTAATCGGTCGTTAATAACTGACATCGGGTAATTGCAAAATCGTTGGAAAGTCCGATAACGGCAATACGTCAAACCAGCAGCATCCAGCCAGATGACGAAACGGCGTCGAATATTTGGGCACGAGATTTAACGATCGAACCAGCGTCGAAAATTCAAAAATTGAGCCCGCATTAATTCGTAAATATTCTGCCGATTGCCGATTGGATTATTATAGAAATCTCATCAGAGCATGTATTATAACACTGCTCGGAATAGATTTCGACCGGAATTATTCCGTTTTTTCCTAAAAACACAATAGAAATCTAGGAAACAATTAAACGATTCTGATCAAAATCCATTTTGATAAGTTCCATAATACAATATCTTTTAGTTCCGTTATTTCAAAAAAGTGATCTACTATGCAAAAACGTAAAATTCTTTTTCTAAAAATCAACTTGGTCCGATCATAACAACAAAATACCTACTGTTATTTAATTTATTATCATGCATATATTCGCCTTGAACTCTAGTCACGTAGGATAAAGTATCAGTTCTGATATTGCTTTCTGATATTACATTCTGATATGCACATTACTGCCTGTCATTCTTTTTGCAAAAATGTTCTGCAAAATAAGCTAAATTTCAAGTCTTATTTTTATAACTTTTATTATGCCTTCACTACAGAAATATCGATAAACTACTTGTGCAATCCTTTGCGTAATAATATCAGTGTCTTTAGAGATGATTGTATTGTAAAAGGAACGTCTTAGATAGTATTATTGTATTATTGATACGTGAATAAAATGTTGTCTTCGCTCTTAGATAGCTCTTGACCTCAGTTTTGTTACATGTCTTAAAGTTTTCATGTATCTTTCGCGTATCGCCTCGCGGGCATTAAAGCAGCAGAAGCCGTGCAGCAGAAACAAAAAGCAGCGTAGATTCCTTAGATCTCTTTAACTAGCGAGCAGACAATTCAAATAGGTCATCACTCCATTCTCAACCGTTCGCGCGTTATATCATTCCATTTTCGTAGCGTTTCTGTATGTTGACAATTGGTATAATTTCGTATACATATTTAAAAAATTGAAAGAAGAGAAAAGAGCAAATTTCTGAAAATGCGTAATGCAAAGTTTGAAGTACGCTAATGGCATAGCAATCATGCTCAAAAATTTACATTTAACACGCAAAAAATTGTGCATCTACTAATTTTCACTTCAGTGTGCTTTACGCCGCTATTTCCGGACTTGCACGTAATCAACGTAATAGCGTAGTAATTTGCAACTCAATACATCTCGATTCGCGTTTCCGGCACGGCAGCGACTTGTTGAATCACAATTTTTTTTGCGACGTGCAAAGAATTCGAACGCGGTAAATACCGCTCGTTTACAAATCGGAATAATGCGGCGAATGCGATAAACGCGATTTTTCTCGCGCCCCATCGCGATCTTCTTTGTTGAGCGGAACTTAGCAAGACGTCAGCGCCGATAAGTGCCGGAATAATAAGTTTGACTTTCTTTTCACGCGAAACTGCGAGAATAACAGCGCTTACTGCGGGTTATCACGTTTCCTCGCGTCTAATGATTGGCAACTTTGTCAAGTCTCGGGATAAACGTTATTTATAAATAATGGTGAGCTATCGTCCGGATATCAACACAATATTACGGACTGTTTATACCACGCCCCTTTTGAAATCGGCAGATACAAGATGAGTTGCATAAAGATAACGTTATCGGTTTCCTTTACGTACGAAAATCTGTTCCGCACGTAAACGATACTTTAAATTACGTAAAACGAGATTTTGGCTCGTATGCAATAAACGTTTGCCACGGGGGTAAAAGTTTCTTCGATGAAAACACACTATAAACGATTTAACAATAATATTGAAGAAAAGCGAAAATAAAAACTTGGAAAGTGATTAATGAGAATTGATTTTCCAACGCCATGAATATATGCAGAGATAATGGCTATGATTAAGACGCATCTTACGGGATAAATATGGAAATTTGACCGCGTCGAAATTACACCGTTCTTTCTTCTCAGGAAAATTTCATTTCCCGTAATCGCACTGGAATTCTTCCAGCTCTATCACGCTTAACGGATCTATATGCATACGTCGATTTCCGCGCTGCTATCTAAGTGTCAAGATTTAACCAAGTTCTGTCTCACACCACTGATATAAATCGATCGTCTGATTACGCGTAAAATAGGTTTTCTGTTCCCATTATTCTATCTTGAGCGCAATGTAATCTTATTTTTCCATTTTCTAAGAATAACTATGAGTGATATAACAACTGAGAGAGGGGCTCGAGAAGCAAGAGATTAACAAATAACACGTCGCAAAATGGTACAGAGTTCCTATTTAAAAAATCAAAAGTCGCGACGTATGACTGTAACAATATTCATTTGTAGTATCGTTTTGCTAATTAAAGTTTATTTTCAAAGTTATTATTTAATGAGTTGTAATATTTTGTCTTTTTCACGCGACGTTTGTATTTTTTTACAATAGTGATCGTCTTCAATTCGAGAAGTAACATTTTTTCTTCATCAGA